CATAAAAACCCAGAAAAACGAAAAAAAAACCCAAAAAAATAAAAAAAAATCCTGAAAATAAAAAAAAGACCCATAAAACGAAAATTTGTAAAACGAAAACGACCGAAAAATTGAAAAAGGATATGAAAATTTGAAAAAAAAAAAGTAGATCTGAAAACGAAACAAAAAACGAAAACGACGAACGCAGATCTGAAAATCAAAAAACGAAAACGAAAATACCAGATTAAAACGAAAACAGTCAAAACGAAACAAAAAACGAATGAAACCCAGAATTTAAAAAAAAAAAATAAAAAAAAAAAAAAAAAAAACCAGAAAAATGAAAAAAAAAACCCAAAAATACGAAAAAAAAACCCAAAAAAATCAAGAATTCGAAAAAAAAACAACAACAAAATCCAGAAACGAAAAAAAAACCAAAAAACGTAAAAAAAAAATCCAGAAAATGAAAAACAAAATCTGGAAAAAAAAACAAGATATGAAAAACAAAAATACCCTAAACGAACGGCGATAATGGTAAGAAAGTCTTTGAGGCATGAAGAGAGGAAGAGAATGAGAGTGAAGAGAGAGAGAGGGAGTGAGAAGAGAGGTAGAGAATGAGGATGAAAAGAGAGAGGAAGAGAGTGAAATAGAGAGGCAGAGAGAATGAAATTAGGGCTTCGTGAATGAGAATGAAATTAGGGCATTAGGCCCAATATAAGGCCCTCCGAATTTTCTTTTCTTTTTTTTTTATCCGTTGTATTAGACTTACTTTCCTTTTTTTTTTTGATCTGTTGTATTAGACTAGGTCTAATACAACGGTTATTATAAACTGTTGTATTAGACCTGTTTTAGTATAAACCGTTGTATTAGCCTAGTCTAATACAACGGTATGAAATTAGCCGTTGTATTAGCTAATTTTGTACCGTTGCATTAGATAAAAAATGTAGTAGTGTCAGTTAGTGTTGTAATATATGAGTGTTGTAATCTTTTCAAATTAAATAAAAGTTTCGTTCAAGAAGGGAACGTTATCCCCTTGAACCTTATATATCAAATGAGTTATCTTTCTGTTTAAGAAGTTCCATCATAAACACAATAAAAATTGTTTGATTAGAGATTACGGTCTAAGGTAAGAAACGAATCAGATTTGTGTTGTGCTTGATCTAAGGAAGACAAGGTTGGGGTTAGCTACCTTGGTAAAGCCGGAAGCTCAGAATGTCGGAGGTTCCATTGTCGACTAAGTTTAGGTATTGGTCAAAACCCTCTAGTTAAATAATTATTATTGCGAAGCATGGTGGGCTATTAAACTGTTAAGGTAATTTATTTCAATATATAAGTAATAGAGTTGTGATAACTAGTATCGATAAAAGTCATTAAGTGAAAAACAAGTGAACATTTGTTTATATTAAAAGCTAGTATTATATAAAGGATTCGTTGGTATCAAAAGAAATACCAATTAAGAATTCGTTGGTACCAAAGAAGAATACCAATTAGGCTTGCTTTGGTTATATTGGTATACCAACGACATTAAAAACAATATCAACCTAAAAACGCCAAAAGTGCCGGTTAGGTAGAGTCCAAGAGGACCCTACTTAGTAAAGGATGAGAAATCCTCAACAAAATTTATTCGATACTTGAAAATCCTTCATAATATATTTGGTCTTAAAAATTAAGATGATTTATATTATACTTTATTTTTATGTTTTTTTTAGTGCAACATAGCTTTTTGGCACGCTTTTTACGGAGTTGATTAGATTAGGCTTGCGTTACTTATCAAAATAATTTTAGCACAATAGTAGAGAAGACCAGAGTAACGTGTATAAATTATTTTTATTAAATTTTTGTATGTTTACATTACTTAATCTCTTTTTCAAAGTACGTGTCATAAAGATGTGTTACAAATAAAAGAAAATGGAGGGAGTATATATATAAATAATTTAAGCATCTTATTTTGAAATTGTACTCAAAGTAACAACTCAGATCAATTTAAGCCATTTTAATCACTTTAGTTTAGATTGTTTGCCAATTATCAATTCTAGTTAATTAAGGTGCTTTTTAATTTTCAACACCTCATTATTCAAGGTACCTGAAATATGGTGCCAATCATATAGCTGAAATTCTTGTTCAATAAAATAGCGATAACGATTAGCTTTTAGTAGTTGAGTGGCAAGAAATTGTTAAAACAACATAACTAAGCTAGTAGTCGGTAAGAATCGAGTCTCTAAGTAGTTGTACATAATGTTATTAGTGTAGGACAAAAGTATAAATTGAATTGTCAAAGACGACATAGCCATATATATTGTCCATAAACTAACTACGATTTGACAATCATTTCTCGCAACTTTTGAAATGATGATGTACATAACGAATCGAAAAAATAACCTAAACTATTACCTTGACAAACACGTACTCCTGTTTTATCTAATTGTTATATTAATCTCAAAACACTGTCCGCTACCCATAATGCTATCGAGTATCTCCTAACAAATTTAACAAAGAAAAGTATTGTACAAAACTATTAGGCAATTAAGAAAAGTATATTTTAGTTATATTGTACATGATCTGGTAGGCAATTAAGAAAAGTATCGCGGACTTAGAGTTCTGACGTAATTCTATTCAGTTTACAAGTGATTTTTTTCTTTTTTTTTTTTTTTTTTTTTTGAAAGTGGCAAAAGAATTCAATTAGATAATTTGATTTAGTCAACATTTTAGAAGAAATGATGATGTGGACGAAAACAACACAAGGCAGAACAACTGGATCTCATTAACATTAATGCAGGTGCCAGCCATCTGATTAGTGAATATATTAGCCATTTGGAGTTAAACTAATAGTGATTAGGTTTAATCTGCACCCCTTGATAAAACAATTAAGCTAGTGATTAATTTAAACAAGTTAAGTATATTTTATTTGTGACTATAATAAAAGACCAAAGTTAGATGCCTAGATTTGCGCCTGTGCTCCTTCCATTGAGTTGACGACAGTATTTAAACCAATTTTTTCAATGGACAATAATTTATAAATTTACGACCTTGTAGGAGTGGCAAACTGAAATTGTGAAGATTGAATAATTGATGACTAGTGGGGATTGGGTGAGTAAAAATGCGATATCCGAATTTAGATTGAAACATGTTAGAAACCATCGAATTTGGCTCGAAAGCTGATTTCAACAATTCAAGTTCTATGGAACCGGTTAGAAACTGTCGAATCTGAATTAATATGAGAATCGTTTAAAAGTGATTTAATAATCCTCAATCTATTTTTAATTGAAACAAGTTGAGTACATGGTTACTTGAAACTAAATTTTAAAATAGAAAAGTTAAAAAGTTTATAAAATAAAAGTTCAAGTTGGTAAAGCCCATATAAGTGTTCATAGAGCTCACATTAAACTAGAGTACCAAATTTTTTTAAAGTAGTGGTTAAAAAAGAAAACTTGTATTTGCAACATTTTCTTATAATGCTGCTAGTTACAGTTATAAATTTATGTACGGAGTATCAGTTATAGTTAATTAGATCAAACAAGTTTGGAGAGTTAATGAGGAGTTCACCTTGTGACTTTGGGCTACAAGTTCGAGCCCTATCAATTATTTGCTTGGGAGTAAGGAGATTCTCTTACTTTCTCTCTTCTATTCTCAAGCAATACCTGTGTAGCTAGGCTGAGAAAGATATTAATTCAATACGGTCTTTCTCCTTAAAAAAAAAAAAAAAAAAAAAGTTATAACTAGTTAGAGATAAAAATGGATCGACTGATAGCATAAGGGCTCGTTAGACACACACGAATAGGGCCCAACCAGACATGAGCCAATCACAAGTCCAGCATGACACTAGAGGCACGAAGGTGGGTCATCAGTGGTGCATGAGCTTGATTTTAAAAAATTGGCCCAAACTCGGCACAAGCACAACGAGCCAGTCCATGTGTCTTCCAGCTTATTTTTGTCCACTTTAAACATAAATTTTAAAATTATTAAGAAGCTTATTGGCATGACAAAACCCTTAAACCCATCACGACATTACACAATACGTGGATTGGGTTGTGCATAAGACATAATTCCTGGCCCATTCTAGGCACAGTCTTACTTGAACATGAGACATACTAGCATGACACAATCGGCCACCTTTACACCTATACATCAACACATAAATTACATGCAGCTTGTTAAACTCCTTAGTTTTCTCTCCATTAATGGCTAAGTTAACCAGCAAAAACATTAGATTTAGGTCTTGCTGGTAAAGAGCGTTTTGGGAGCTTTAAGCTTATTGAGCTTGTTAGAGGTTTGATCATTATTAAAAAAAAAAAAAAAAAACCCTCTAATTTGAGTGTATGGTAAACAACTTATTGAAAAAAAAAATTGGCTTCAAAAAGCTCTTTTTGAAAATGCTTAAAAAAAGGAGCTTTTCATAATAAGCTTATTGAACAACTAGCTTTTTGATTATTGCTTATATCAAAAGAGCTAATAATTAACAGTTATTTACTTACTGAACACTTTAATAAAATTTGCTATTTATAACCAGTTACTCAAAACCAATTAATACAACCAGCAAATAAAATCAGTTAACACAACCAGCTATATCAGTTAATTACCAGCATTATCAAACAGGGCCTTATCAGATTTATCTCCTTAATATAAGTAAATGTAACTAAAGGGTATTACTCCCTCTGTTTCAAAATAAATGTCCCATTTGATTGACATATTTGCAAATACGAAACTTTGACTAATAATATTTTTAGTTATTATAAATAAAGTTGTATTCAAAAATTAAGAATTTGAGACAATTCTAATAGGTATTCACATGACTAAGTGTAATTTTATACCAATATAAAGTTATAACTGAAGCCTAAGTAATGTAGGTAAATAACGTAAAACTTAGGACATTTATTTTAACATGCTTTACAACGTGAGGTCATACCATGTCATCGATGCACCAACCCATGATTTACACGTACATAATATAGATGATGTCATAAAACTACAAGCACAACTCTTTGGAACATATGTCAAATGTCACAATCCATAAATCTTATGTAATGCCCGATACTATACTAGTATACAAAGTCTTATGCAAGGCAAAAATGCGTATCGTATCCAAAAATTAAATTAAATAATTAATCAACACTAATTCCAGATTACACCCATAATTAGTACGGGCTACTATATAAATGCACCCTTTCTTCTTCACATTTCTTCAACACTTCAACCTTTCTTCAACACTTCGCATTTCAAATTTTCTTCCTTTTTTCTGTCAAAAATTTTCTCTTTTCTTCTGCAGAAATGGTGGATTACATTACAAAAGCTAAAAGGTGCAAATTTGACAATTCTGCTAATTTTGGCTCTGTTTCAAAACATGATGATGAAGTTACTGCTGAATTCTATCAGAAATCTGCTACTTCCTTCAAAATTGACAAATCTTGTAAGTATTTCATACCCTTTTCAATTTTAGTCTTATACTGTAACATCTTGTTAATAATTTTCCATTTTTATGACAATTTTGTACAAATTTATGAATGTTAAAGATAGCAAATTTCTGGGTTTTGCAGAAATTTTTGTTCTAGTATTGCTTCTTTTCTGGGAACATGCTGGGTATAATCCTGAAATATAAAGCAGGGTTTAATGTTTACTGTTGGATTAATGGCAATAATTTCAGTTTCAGATTTGTTCTTCTATGTAGATAATTAAAAATAGTAGAAAAAAATAAGAATATTCTGTTAAAGAAAGGAGACATTTGAATAAATAAAACCCAGAAATGATTGAATATATTATTTTGGTGTACGGATTTTTAAATTAGTCTACTTAGTGATGACAATTTTTTTACAAAATATTGAAAAGTCATCATGTATTATTTTCCTTCTTTCTAAGAAGTTCAGGCTATGATAGTCATGTTATAATTCTTAATTAATACAGTACAGTGTGACTTAGTTAAATTCTATTCGGCATATTTGGTAAAGTCGTACTCTATCTGGAATAAATAGAATTCAGTTTACGTCATTGCCCTGGGTACAAAAGACGAGTTTACCATTTGTTGCTTTGTTAATGATGTGTTTCCTGGAGATGGAAGTTTTTAATCACAATAATTGGAAGTTTGAATTATGTTAGAATTACAATTTTATACCCGTTATTGGTAAATGAATTGTATATTACCAATTAAAAGTACAAAAGATGCAACTTCTTGTTGTTGCTACTATAGTAGAAAATGTACAATGAAAGGCTAACACACACTGCCATCTGCTTGCTTTTTTCCCCGCCAAAACTTTATTTTCGTAACTTATCCTATAGAAATATTGTTAAAGGTTTTTAAATGCTAAAATTTTTTGTACATGTGAATTGATCAGGGGATCAAGCTGGGTCTGCCTACATCAAGTTGGCGGAGTGTCACTTGAAGGTGCATATTTTCATCCTGAACAATCTGTTTGTTTTCTGTTTTGCTCTTTCATTTATGTCATATTGTGGATCAACTAAGATGTCATATGCTCATATGTCAATATTTCGAATGTTTCAGTCCAATAGAGTTCATGAAGCGGCTAATGCTTATGTAGAATCGGCAAGCTGTTATAAGAAGATATCTCCCATACGTGAGTGTTCTTTCGTGTATCATTAGATTGCATTCACTTGGTAGGAAGTGGAGAATTGCTTATGCACCAATTTTGTCATCTTACTTTTCTAATTTTATAAATCATACGTATTATAGAACCAAACAAAGGAAAATACAGTTTGAAAGCTGATTTCCATTGAAAACTACTTATTGTAGAAACCAAAATCCAGCCTTTTATCTTGCTCTACAAACCGGACACAACCTATACCTTAATATGCAGTGTTTTGTTTATCTTGTTTAGAAATTTAAAGATTATAATTTAATACCGTGCTCTGCTGAAAATTTTGCAATAGCATATTGCTTTACAAGTACTTTTTTTTTTTTTTTTTTTTTTTTTTTTTTGAAGAAATTGCTTTACAAGTACTTTTATTCTGCTATATATGCATGTTTCATATTATATTTGATGAGATGATTTTGATTGTGACATTTGATTTTTCGGGTTATAAACAGAGGCCATATCATGTCTTGAGCAAGCTGTGAACCTTTTCTTGAATAGTGGGATATTTAGTATGGCTGCGAGATATTGCAAGGTAAAGTCTGCCTGGCTTGTCTTGTAAGAGTGGTGACTGCTGTTTGTGAATTATGAAGCACATTAACATCTGAAGAAGATGGCCTTTTATTCATTCAGGAAGTAGGTGAACTGTATGAGCAGTTGCGGGATTTGGAGGAGGCTATCAAATATTTTAAGCGGGCAGCTGACTTATTCCAAGGCGAAGCTGCAACAACGTCTGCAAGTCAATGCAAGCAGAAAGTTGCTCAATTTTCTGCCCAATTGAAACGGTAAGTTTTATACTTGGTCATTGCAATGAACTAGCTTTGTTTGCATTTATGTAACAAGTGAGTTTTGGCATGAACTTATGTAACTTGATATCTTTTACTGATGCCAGCTTCTGCATAAGTTAATAAAAATGGAAAACATATGTATTCATTTTGATTACAATTGAAGTTGCCAACAACAAAAGTCACTTATTACATACTTTTTCAGATATATGAAGGCAATTGAGAAATTTGAAGAAGTAGCACAGGAAGCTGTCAACAGCAATCTGCTGAGGTATGGAGTTAGAGGGCATCTACTAAACGCTGGTATTTGTCATCTCTGCATAGGAGATATTGCTGCAGTGACCAACGCGTTGACCAGATATCAGGTTATTATTGTTAATCCTCTTTGAAGGTTGTGTTATGGGTTTTGACTTTTGTGTTCTTTTAATAAGCCTAGATTTAATGTCGCTTACATGTATGCAGAATTTGGATCCCACTTTCTCAAGGACTCGAGAGTACGTGCTTCTAACTGTAAGTTTTTTATCGCCTTTGTCACAGTGTATGCAATCTATTTTCTCTATCCTCTTACTATCCTCGGACATTCACTTCAAGTACCTCAACACTCATTGGTAGAACACTTGACTGTTTCCTTGGGCCAAAAAATATGGAAAATTTCATCAAGTAATTGGATCTTCTACTTGTACGCATACTGTGACTAGCACGAGTACTTGAGGCCAAGAGACATAACTTAAAACAAATTTCATCAAGTGGAAAATGCAGGCTTGGAACTTATTTCTGACAATTTGTTTTTGCTTCCTTGCCTGCCATTTCTATTACAAGTTTATCGGACTGCATTACAAACTTTCTCTGTAATCATGTATAAGTTATTCATGTAACTCATAAACACTACTATCTTATTGATATTTCAGGATCTATTGGCTGCATATGACAGGAAAGACGTTGAAAAGTTTACTGAAGTTCTGATGGACTACGATAGCTTAAGCCCTCTGGTAACTTTCACCTTCTGTATATCTCATACCAATGCTTTTTATCTTTTAATAAATTCTAAGCTAATGAGGTTATGTCATGGATCTGGTAAGACTACTGTCATTTTTGAATGCACCATATATGAGAAAGTTTACTGCGAGTGCAATAATTTACTAAGATTGGCTTTCATCTACTTCAGATAATTATTTCAGCAATTACATTTCGCATCTGATTACTGATGTTTTTTGGTGTGTAGGATTCTGGGAAAACTACTCTTCTGCTGAGAATCAAGGAGAATCTGAAAGCTAAAGAGCAGAACGTGGATCTAGCCTGAATCATGTCAATCGAAATACATTCCATGCCAAGTTGAAGATTGTTAGTTTCATAGTGTCATATGATTGTTCCCGGTTGTAAAAATGTATACTAGTAGATTCTTAGCTTTCTCATTCTTCATAATCTGGGTATCCTAGAAGAATGTTTACCATAGGCTAGATTTGATGCTTAACTGTGAGCTAAACTTTTGAGGTGAAGCGTTTGGAATATTTGTATAAGTTAGGGGATTGGATAAGTTTTTAACATTTTGGCTGATATAATTCAAAACATGTTCTATGTGTAGAATCTAAAGCGATTATTTTATTAAATAATTAGCGTTATATTTCATCCATACAATTTTAATTGCAACACATTTATTTTCTTAGTAGAAAGTTTGTAAACAATAGCAATATCCCCTTTTATTGGTTCGTGTTTTTGATGTCGTCGTTTTATTTGTTTTCCTCTAAGTTTTGATCATGTTTCACTTCCATTACCACCCTAATACCCTATGCAGCTAAATCTTGCTATACTACGAGTACATTGCTAAACATTGTTCTTTGTACTACGTATAAATAAATTGGGCCTAGGCTACAATTCCTGGGCAGGCCATAGGTGTTAATGAGCCTAAGCGGCTAAGCCGAAGAAATGGGACTTGTGATTTGGACTTGGGCCTAACACTGACTATTCGAACATGAACCCAAATGATCAAATTTTGGACTCATCAAACCATGTTTGGACCTTGAGCACTAAATTCATATTGATATTCAACGGAATTTTAATCTGGCAACATTTTAACATGAGATGCTCATCAAACCCTCCAATTTTATATTTTTTTTAAATAACAATTGATTTATAAATAAATAGTTATACGACATGTACAAAGAGATTTAAATCTAATAAAATCATCCTTCATCAGAGCTACGATCGTTGTTGCAAATCATACATTCTTCATACCACCCTCTTTCATATCGATGTTATTTACAACCTTCTTTGACGAAAGGGTCTATCGATCTATTGTAGTCCCTCAGAAAATTTTCATCTAATTCATCTTATTGTGATTGAATGATTAACCTATTTTTTTATCCGCACAAATTTTTTCCCATGCAGCTTGTACCATACTAAACTCAAAAAACAAAAGCAAAACTGAAACAAAGCCCACCATAGGGGCACTTTACTATACTCAAACCCACTATATGTAGGGGTACTTACAAGAGTTACAACCTTTAAAGATTGTAGTCTTATTGAATTCAATAACAAAACACATAAAAAAAAAAAAAAAAAAAAAAACTAAAGGGAAAGGGTCATAAATAGCCAAATTTCTGGAAAAAATTGGCTATTTTTAGCCTATAAAACACTTATTTTGAAGAACTCAAGAGAGAGTAAAAAAAATCGTTTTATTTACCATAGCAACAAACGTCACAAAAAAGGAGAAAATTAGCATTAAGTGTGTCCTATTTTCGACGTCTTAGGTAGGGAAAAAAAAAAGCTTTTGTTGTAGAATGGTATATTAATACGTACTAAGTAGTAAAATTGGAAAATGTAGTCATGGAAGAGAAAATTTTCCATAAAAAAGAAAAAAGCGACAGTAGTAAGATTAATAAGGACCAAACATATTATTGCTTAATAAGAGGCTAAATGTTTATCTACACATGGTTTGAGGTAGCGGTTTTACCCTTTATAAATTACTACTCCATATATTTACTTGGAATACTAAAGACAAACCGCTACCTTAAGTAGCAGTTTTAGAATATAAATGCTACTTAAGGTAGCGGTTTGTCTCTAAAGAAAAAATTACCTCAAATAATGTATTAGCGAGTCTATGTAAACTGAATTTTAGTAAATAAGTTTCATTCCAACGCAAAACCGTAAATAAGTTTTTTAAAAGCTATATTTTTTAAATCATCCTGTTTATTTTCACCGTAGGTTTAGGTCTTTGGGATGTAATGCGGGACCCACAAGCTCACTTTGAAACGAATATATTCATTCTTGAGAATAAATTCGAAAGCACATAAAGATGCTTGAAATTTAAGCAAACATGGATACTATGCCAGACTACTTTGTCACAATTTTGTGGTTGTTTTAACATTATCAACTAAAAGTTAAACTCTCGCTTTTTTCTCTAATGTGGGCGCATACACTATACTTGATTAATTTAACATATAGTCGAATTTCTATTCATTTCATCTTATGAAAAGTTTGAATATCAACTTTTCTTACGAGTGGTAGCCATGCAATATTATACTATAATTCCTAATTTGGTCGTTCTACTCGCAAATTAAAGTCACCAATTATTTGGTGCTTAATTATCTAGCTAGCTAAGCTGTTTAAAGAGAGAGATCTCAATTTTTTGCTTTTCTTGCTAGCCTTTTCTATCTCTTCAAAGAAATACATTTTATATAATTGTATAGTTGTATATGACTACTATACAATTAATGAGTCATTTTATATAATTGTTTTAAACAACGATAAATTCATTTGCTATTCATTATTTAAAGTAAATTAATAAACAGACACCGATCATTTGTTTTAAGATTTAATTTATGAAAAATTGCTAGGATTGTGGTATGTAACCCCAATTAATTTGTCCTTGCATTGTCTTCTTAATTTGATCCTTACTTTTAAAAAAAAAATAAAGAATAGAATTTGATCCATTTGATAACCAAAATGGACATAAATCAATATATCAAAGTTGCCTTCTCAACATTTTAAACTTGAATTAAATAGAGTTTGGTAATGGAACCTAATAAAATTAAAAGGTGACATAGTCTAATTATTTATCACATTAATTACTACCTCACCATCCTCAAAATTCTCTCATGGCTGTGTTCTCTCCTCGCCCCCCCTGCCTTCCTTCCCTCCTCTACGACTCTATCTCTCTAATTAGCTTCCGATATTGCACACCTTTCCTTGAGATTATCTCTCCTCTGGCCTTCTCATCTCTCTGAATCTCTAGTACCCTTTATTGACTGGACAAGCTAAGGTGCTAACTTCTTCTTCTCTCATTCAATTGCTTTCAATAGGTGGTGCCATTATTGCAATTGTGGGTTGGTGCGCGAAGAAAAGAGAGGAGGCAACAAGTTGGTCTGGGGAGGAGGGACTCTAGTGAAATTTAAATTCTTCTTGATATGTATTTTAATAATTTGTTTTTAAGAAAAATTGACAAGAATAATCCCAACTCTGCCTCGTTTAATCCAACTTTGATTTATTTTTTAATAATCTGAACTTTGATATGAATTTGCTTAAAATGGTCCTAATCGGTCATTTAACTTGTTATAACAAGTTAGATGACACGTGTCGGCACTTGGTTGGTGAAAAAAATAAAATAAAAATAATTATAAAAAGTTAATTTTTTAAGAAAAATAAAATAATTATTTATTAAAAACTAATTAAAAAATAATAATACCCCACTAGCCCCAACCACCCCTTCCGCCGCCTACTCCGCAAGCCTAATCACCTGCACCCCCAACTCCAGCGGCACACAAATCACTTCTCCACGCGTCGGCAATGTCGCATTGCCCCCCCCCCCCCTCTCTGAACCACCAACCCTCCTCCTGCACAAAACCCTTTAAAACCGCGTCGCCCACCATTGAGATTGTTCTTCTCCATTCCCTCGTTTTCCTTCCACGCGCCGCCCAACGTGGCCTTCGTCCATGGCATGGCAGCTTGATTTGTACCTCGTAGGCTCATCCGATCGCGCCGTTGAGTTTGTTGTAGTCACCGATCTTGGACGCCGCCTTGTCCACGTCGATGTTTCTAGATCCGAGGAGATCGCTAATATTGTTATGACTTGTTCTTGGGCTTTTGCGACGCACACATCTGGTTACGGTGGTTGTGGTAGGGGTGGATGTTGGGCTGGGGAGGTGGCTGGTTGGTGTTAGTGGCTCAGGGGAGATAGGGTGGTGGAGGTGGCTGGGTCGTTGGTGATGGTGAATGGTTAATTTGCTTTTTTTTTTTAATTATTATTATTATTTAGTTTTAAATTAGTTAATTAAGTATTTATTTTTTTGAGGAAAGTTAAGTGTTAATTTTTTTTTTTTGAATATTAACTAGTAACAAATCATATTTTTTTAAAAAAATTAAAATTAAATCTTATTTTTGACCAATCACGTAATGACACGTGTAAATTATTTTTTTAAAAAAAATTACTTACGCAGCAGGTTACCGGTCACTTGGGACCATTTTAAGCAAATTCATACTTGTATCAAAGCTCGGATTATTAAAAAATAATCCAAAGTTGGGATTATTCTTGCCAAATTTTTCCCAATTTTTATTCAATTCATATGTAATTAACTATATTAATGGTCAAAGTGTATATTTGTGCATATATTGAATAAAGTGAAAATTAGGATGTATCAATCTTTAAAGAATGGAGATAGTGCTACATAGACAATTTTTTAAAACAATATGCATTATTGACCATATCATTAAGTAGCCCCTTTAATTTAAACAAAACTTTAAAATTAAGTAAATCAACAAGCTCTCCTTTGTTAGGCCCTGATCTATTCACTTTATTTTTCATTCATTTTAAAAAAATATAAATTAAGTTTAGATAATAAGATAAGTTCAGAATACATAAATTCTTTTAAATGTTGATAAGGGCTCATTATTAAGGATGGCCCAAGTTCAATTTACAGTAAAATAAGTTCAGATAAATAGATAAGATAAGTTTTGATAAATTCATATAAGATAAGAATATATAAGTTCTATTAAAATAACCCGGCTAATAGAATAACACACCCTTAGTTTGTATGTAAAAACAAATCAGTAAAAAGATATAAGCTCAATTATAGATTTTCTTAGTTGTGAAAAAATATAAATAAGAATAACATATTATTATATTGGTAACATTGTAGAAGAGGTTGTCTTTACAAGTCCTTAATATTTAAGATAGGAAGGCGAATCAATACTGAATTGTCAAAGAAGGAAGCATATATTCTTCTTGGGGATATGTGGATGAACCACTTCAATTGCTTCTTTAGATAGAATCTCTCTTCTGTTCGCGTTTTTTATTTTACCTATATTATTTTTTCTATATGATAGTAATCACTCCTTCAAATACTCCATACTCTAATTTTATTTTATTTTTTGGTTAAAGAAAAAAGTGTTTCTTGTTCTAAATTTTAGTCATACAATTAGCTTATTTAGCTAGAGACATACAAAGTATTATTTTGAAATTTATTAATTAAGTTTCGGATTTGTACGACAAATAAGAATATATATATAGACTTCAAGAAATTGTCTTCATTCTAATATAGAATAATTACATCAACCTTGTCATTTATATCTTGATCATATGTTTGAGAGACATGCAAGGGCTTGGCTTAGCTTTATGATAATGTCAGAATTTATATAAATCTATCCAATTTGAAAAGAAAGACAATCATAATAGATGGTATCATGGAAGAAAAGAGAAAGTTATATCGTGTCCTCGTATATTTATGTATATACCTATGCTAGATAATTAATAGAGGATTATGTAAGACACTCCTTTAA